CAAATACGCCTGGCAATATTTTGCAAATGAATTATCACTTGAACTTCAAGTTCACATTTTCTCGTACGAGGATCTAGATGTACTCATAATAATTCATTACATGCATTACTTTTTCAGCTGCCCATTTTCTTCCCCTATTGTTGGGATCACCAACACATATCCATAACCTTATTTGAGGATCCATCTTTGTGCATTGTGGTGGAACAATTAAATTATATAGCACATTCATATTTCTATATGGTAATTATTTGGTTCTTGACCCTGAACCGATTGTGATAGGGAGAACTTATCATAACTTGGCTAGATGCGTACAAGTGCTGTTGTATATTAAATAATACATCACATACCAAATTTTATTTTGGCAATTTTGTTCTCATAACCAATGGTTTAGATATAATTGGAGGCATACAATTTCTGCTAAACCAACTTGGATTTAAACCAGTATTATCAAGATAAATCATCATAATTTATATTCTGGAACTGTGCTCTAATAATTTGAGCAATCAATCTTGCAAAAGCCAAACTACAAGTTGATAATAAATGCACATGTGACCATATAATAGATGCATCTATTAAAATTATATAATAGTAAACGGTCCACATGAAAGGTGACTGGGCCCATATATTTATCACCTTTTATTCGTTCCAAAAATTAAGGGATTCAATCCCAACCTTAACTGGTATATCATGAGAATAAGCAGCATAAGAGAATTCTTGAAGAATCTTATATTTCTTCAATATATAGCAATGTAATTCTCAATTAATTTTTTTGCATCATAATTGAACCGAGATGGTCAACCGGCCATGCCAACTAATATTTATTTCAGTAAACCTCTAGTTTACTTGTGTCTTGTGATTGCATCATCATGCTTATATTTCTGTTAGACAAATAGAAGAAAATTCAGGTAACCTTTCATATTTACCCGGTATGATTATAGTAATATAAAGATATTCAATCTTCTTTTTATTTATAGTTTCAATATGCCAACCACTTTGGCTAATATATTTATAAATCAAAATGTTTCTTTTGAGACTTACTATAATATTAATGTCATGAAAAGCTTCATTCATACGGGTAGTAACAAATTAGTTCTCTCAGAGCTCTTATCTGCTTTTGTACTACAAGATCTTTTGTACACCATCTATATAATGAATGTCTCCTTCACAAAGAGAATTATATCATAATAATTGTCATGTTCATAATCATCATAAGCAAAATAATTTCTTGCTTTAATTTTGCTTTTAATAACTTTCATAAGGCTTGACAAAATATTTTTGGCGTATCACATGTATGCGACCAATGATATGTTCATGTAACTACACAGTAATATTCATTATCTTTCTTTGTCTCAAACCTCCCTTAGAGGTGAGTTGTAGTATTTATCCAACAATGCACAAGTATATTATTATGCATAATCTTTATCACATATATATATATATTTTCACATTCATTTTTAGGAATGAGTATGCAATCTCAATGTTTATCACAAGTCACATTCTCTTCAAAGAATTTCTCCATTTTTATAATTACCATAGTGATAACTATTATTATGTTGGCCTTTCGCTCGCCCACATTCATTGGCCAACCACTTGTCTTTATTTAGACTTATCATGCACTGCTATCACATTCTCTTTAAGAATGGAGCAAATCAAGTGGGATAAGCTTCGTGCTTTTTCATGAAAAATATATTATTTTTCTTTAGTTATTATTATTATTATTAATATGGTGCATTAGGACTCAAACCCAATACCTTACCCATATAAAGGAATGCTAGGCTATAATGCGTTGGAACTTGAATCCAACGACTTTTCATCAACATAGTGCATTGGGACTTGAACACATCGTCTTACCCTCAATCTTTGGCATAATAGGCCAAAATTCACTAGGACTTGCACTCGGGCCTTTAAAATATTATTACTTCATAATTATAAGCATAAGTAAATTAACTTTCAAGAAGACTTATATAACTATTTCAATCTTGAAACAGTTCCTCTGCAACGAAAATGTTAGTTAGGATATATGCCTTTTTTTTTAAAATGATACAATCACTTTTATATTTTAATAAATTAATTAGGGGAAAGGTGCAGATAACCTATAACCACTTATATTTCAAAGACTATAAGAACTTCACCAAAAAAATCCAATACGGAGGAATGAGCCTTATGTTTCCAGCAAAAATATTTAAGGCTTAATGCATAACCGTGACTATTATAAATTATAACTATAATGAGTTTACATTGATTGTATATTCGAATGCCAAAATTTGCAAGGTACCGTAAAATCGCCTACATATTTGATAATTCTGCTTTCAATGAAATACATCATGTGATAGTAAAAATATTATTACTAAATTACCTTAATAATTATCTAACATAGTATGTAAACGGCAAGAACATATATATACATTGGAATATTAATTTTGTCCTATAAGAGATGTAGCAAATAAAGACATACCTTTTCAATTCTTTATTTCACTGGATACAATTGAAAAAAATATTTTAACTAAACACTGCACATAAAGTTAATGCAAAGATATAAAAGTATGAATGGGTTTAGATGGATGTAAAACGTATCTTTGTATTATCATCCAAGATATTTTTTATTGTAATTGATCTCATTGTCTGCTTATAGTTTACATAGTCTTGGCATAGAAGATCATGAAATGAGCAATTCGTGCTGATAACGTGTTATAAAATATAAACAATTTAGTAAAACATGAATAAGAAATGTTGTTATGAAATAAAAGCAATTTAGTAAAACATAAACAAGAAATAGAGATAGAGAAGGAAGAGATTTTCTTCTTCAATTGTGTGTATTTTCTTATCTATTACAAGGCCTTTATATAGGCATGAAAAGT